GGCGTGAGGATTTTCAAAGTTGTAGCAAGATATTCTGAGACTGAGACGCCACCATCGGTGTAGCGCGAGCGTACAACGTTTTTGGAATATTTTGGTTTTACAAACCTCAGAATGGCGGAACGGCATTCCGAGTGTTCGTTCTGGTTTCCCTGGCTCTTGCTAATTGAGAACCTCATTCAATATCCTTTTTAAACCAAAAACAAACGAAGTTAAAATGTGTTACGAACGGTAAATGGTATAAATATGACCAAGTCGGTCTTGTCTTTTCGGGCGTATGTGTGTGTCATGAAACGGTACGCGTGATAGAATGACGCCTAGATGCAGCGATAGGTTACCTATTTTAGCTATTTCTTGTACGTTTCATTTCAATGTTTTTCATGTCTAGACTTTAAATCGTACGCAGTTATGGATGTGGATTATGAGGAGTCATGTTTAAAAAAAGAAGTAATTGGCCAAATAAAGTGTGGCCGGGCCTAAGTGCTACTAACTGGCTCGACCGCCTTGATGCTGCTTACTTGCTCGGGCGATGCTGCTGCTGTATGCTGTACCTGTAGGGATGTGCTGCTGCTGCATGCGGCTGCTGCTATTGTTCTTTTTTTTTCTATTCTGCTGCTGCTATGCGGAATTTTTTGCCGTTAGATTTTTGTCTAGAACGCAATTATTACGTGCGGGGTATGTCTTTGTGTGTAAAATGTGTAGTTATAATGTGTATATTGTGATGTACATGTCACAATACGCAAATGACTGTTGAATTCAGTTTATCCTTCTGCCCTGTTAACACATATTATAGTGGACAAATAAATCATCACGTATACGATAGATCGGAACCAGCATCCAATATGATTGATAGGCTGTTCGACGGTCAATTAACTCGAATGCTAATCTAACTCTCTTTTCAGGTGGAGCACAAGAATTTCTACAGTGAGAAGGGAGATTTGACTTATGTACAGGAGCATTGAGATCACGTTGAAGTAGAGGGGCTGGCAGGAATGTGGAGACATGGCTGATTTTGTTCGCAGACGTGGCGACATCATGACCTTTAAGGGGCACAACTAATGTTATATGGTTTGGTTAGAATTATATAGTATATATATAATTAATTATATAATATAATAATATATATATATATTTTTGTGGTCAAGAACCGAGTTTGTACAAGTTATTGGGATGTATATTATAGTCTTTTGGTTTATGTATTTTTTATGATTTTTTTCACGGTGTTGGGTTGTTGTGTGTTTGTTTTAGAAGTTTTGGTGTAATGCAACTTATAATTTTGCTGTTGGAATCTCGGAGCTAATTTCTTGTATTTGATGTTTCTCATCTTACAATTAATAAAGAGGTCCCAATATGTGTTCTCGAGTGTGGGCTAAATGTAGTTAATTATTAGTGTGTTTAACGAAAACTTTTATATATAGATAGCTTTTTATAGGACAAGAATCGAATTGGCAGAATAAAGCGGGATCAGTCATGACAGAGTGATATTCGGGATGCATTTTAGGCGAGGACCAAAAAAGTTATTGAATCGGTATATTACCTACGACACGAGCGGACACACCTATAACAATTTTTGTTCTCTAATCTCTCTCCATTTCTCTCTCTTGTATACTTTCTCTCTCGCGCTCTTCTCTGGCTCTCTCTTCTATCACGCTCTCTCTCTCCATATAATATATATAACTGTATATATATATATATATATTTATTATTATGTTATTGCATAGTTATATAGAATTACAATTTTAAGATCGAGGTAAGATCAAGGGACAGCTGAAGGCAGGCAGGGGAAGTGACGAAGGCCGGCGAGGCTTTGACGGACGGACGGACGGACGGAACGGACGGACACGAGAACGGAACGGACGGACAGGACGGAGGCGGAGATGACTAACGGGACCATTACTAAAGATAGACAGATCGACGATCGTGACAACCGACCGCTTGAGTTAAAATAATTACGTAACTTAAATTATAATTTCGTATTCCATTAGGCTATGGGCGCAGCTCGTGCTGCTATATGCGGAACGGTGTCTGTGATCATCTCCCCGCAGGCACGAAATGGGGCAAGGCCTCCACACGAAGATTGATACAGGTTAACATACTCTCATTTTCGTTCACGCGCATATTGTGACCCAGGATTTCGACGCGTTCATTTTTGTATGTCAAACGCTTATGTTCATCTTGATTCCGTGATAAACTTTATTAGGCACGATTACATGAGTGTAATCTGTCGTCACTCAACGGATGTGCAGGGTATTGACTCACATAGACAGTGGTTCTTCCCTTTTATAGCTCAATCTGACTAGAGTGCGAGTGACCTTGTAGAATGTCGCGGATGATTCGTGCGTCCGTCCGTCCGTCCGTCAGTCGTCCGTCCGTTACCGTCCGTCCGTCGCGTGTCCGGTCCGTCCGTCGTCCAAGTCAACAGTTGGCAATCTTAACCGCTCGCGTACTGTTAACGATATTCGGGTCTCGTCGGTGTGGGGAGCTTGAAAGACTCAGTGCATGACAAATTTGAGGATCAACGGTCAAAGCGTCAAGAAGTGTAAAACTGGAGGAGAAATTATTTTCCCCTTACTTTAATAGTATGCGAGGAATACGGATTGCGGCAAAATCTGCAAGGCGTCGACCTCCGCTTTAATATTCGATGTATATAGTGTGATGGGGGAACCTGCCAGCGACGAATTGAGAGGTCACGGTTAAGAAGGGCACTGGGGGAAGAGTTCGTATCAGACATTTTCTTGAGGACTGATGCTAACGGGCCGAGTTCAAAACTTTATTGGTTTTCAGCCGCTTTGAGTCCATTTTTATCACTTTATTGAAAAGGACGGAATGCTACGTCTCTGCTGCATGCGAAGAGTAAGTGTCATGATAACTTTGGACCCTCAAGGGCGAGGGTTAACATGGATTCTTGAAACTGCCTAATGACCGCACAAGTGTATGTCAATTTCATGGGCCACATCCATATCTAGAAACCCAATAAGCCTGGTAGCAAACGCGAAGACAGGGCGTCACGGCTGAGAAGGTCGGTTGGATCGATCCCATGATTTTTTATTATTTACCTGTTTTCTGTGTTTTTCTATCTTTATCTATTTATTTTTTTCATTAAAGGAAGATTTACTGATTTATTTTACAAAATTTTTAACAAATATATTTTCTACAACATTATTTTATATTTTTCCTATAGGGTTAGGGTTAGGAGGCAGAATTGGGTTAGGTTAGGGATTAGGGCCACAATTGGCACATAAAACAGGAGTTTTAGCGCACGCAGATTAATGTATCATAAATGGGATTTGGTAAGGTATGCGAGATGCCAGGGAAATGTTGCTGAGAATGATGTTACGCAACTACGTAATTCTGCATTCTTGCGCACTCAAATGTTCCAAATGTCATACGCACGACTTAATGTTTTACGTTTATATACGCGTAGCACAGACCTCGATGAGCCCCGACGGGTTCTGCGATCTTGTTGACCATGACTCATTAAGATTGGGTAAGAACCCCTCCAGAAAAATTCAGATATGCACATAAGCCCATATTATTGCTTGCCTGGTTTCACGGACTCCCTGAGCCCATCCACGGATTCAAAGGAGTAATGTTATTGTAATTGATTTACGACAGACAACGTTGCTATTAATGATTAATACTATTATAAATAGGAATAAACGACTAGGCTACTTAACAGGAGTGTTTAGATAGCGACGTTTATATACGTGTTTATATTTAGCAGGAGTGAATAATCATTAGATTATTACTTGTGTTTATTAGTCACTTTGATATTATCAGAGTATAATCCTTTATTATTTAGCTCGGTATATTTATAGGTGTGATATGTAAGTATAAGTATTATTTAGCTCTCGGATATTATGCACTCTGTTCTACTACGGCTGATGTGTTCTGACACGGAACGCTGCAGGTGCAAGTAGATGGCTGGTATTCCTGTAGATAGCATAACATTAGCGGAAGCGACGAACAAGTGCCGAATCTATTGATACTAGCGCAAGTTCAGCGTCCGACCTCAACGGAATGGCCATCATCGTTAGATATAATAATACATAAATATAGGTAAGAAGAAGAAGAGATGATTGAATATTGAGTTATATCTACCTTAGTGGATTTTGGGGATAGCCACGCACATTAAAGCAGTATTCAAATGGACTAGTTGACTTAACTAGCTAATAAGAAATAGTATCTAGATGAGAGACGTGATTATCTGGTTCAATCAAATAGTTCAGTTGTATTTATTTTAATAATTTGAATACACAATAATTTACCATTTAATTTCATCGGAAAAGGAAAGATAAGATAGCTGCCAACATGTCAGGTACTATGAATATTGATATTCGAGGGCATGCGGATTTAGATTTTTTTTGTAAAACATTGTTCGGTGAAACACCAACTTGTTAATATTCGGAAGCTGTCAAGTATACTGTCAAAGGAACTAAGAGCCATATAAGCGAAACAAATCCAAACGGAATCTGGAACGGACTTGGCAGTGGGGTATAACACTAATATTTGTGTAAATCTCAACACTGTGAACTAGTCATCAACATTTTCACAACTCATCTATATGGAAATTATCCGTTATTATCGCTTTAATACTATTCTGTTAAAAAAATACCAGCCAAGCTTCTTCGACAATCGTCTCGTATATAATGAATTAGAGGAATAATTATTGTGATTCCACGATTAATAATGGCGATTAATGTAACTTATTCTATCGAGCATAGAATAGCGCTAACTAGCTTAGCTTTTCTTACGTCACCGTTTGATGAAAGCTAGTCTGAGATTATGTGCAGGGTATCCAGCGCGTTCGATTGACGGCGTAGCCTGCAGCAACGGATTCTACGCGTATGAAGTAACAAGGTTGTTAAGCCGACAAGAAACCTGGCGTTTTGTATTCAAAATAAAGCACATTAGGATCTCTGTAAGACATAATAGCTACTAAAAATATAGCAATCGAATGCTCTTGTATTTCGTTATTTAGTATAATACTCCAGAAATGTTGCTGTTACGAAATTATATTTACTTACAATTAAAATTAAAAATAATCATGCAAACATAACGTCTAACATTCCTGCTTCCCGCTACGTATTGAGTTTACAATTGTGCGATTTACTCTTTATGGCTATCTATAACCTAACGTGACAGCGTTTGACTGGAATTAGGAGGCAGGACAGCCGTTCTGTACTAAGCTACGGGCAGCCTGCACCGAAGTAAGGATAGAACTGCCTGGACTTGGTGACATCAGGTAGGCACTAATAGCTAAACACAAATCCCTAGCGGGAATCGACAAAGTGTAGCTCTATCCTCACTCCTCGCTTATGACTCATAAGTCCTCCCTTCACCGTTTCAATTCGCTTCCTCTTGCTCTTGCACTTCTCTATGTCTCTACACGCACAAATTTCGATCATAGTCTACGCACGAACGAAGCTATTTATATTTAGCTTCATCGCTGTGACGTTAAATGAACACTACTTACTCTAATATTAAGATGCTTTGCATAATAATTTCCAGGCGCTTCCCAATAAAGAATATTGTTAATATTCCAGGAAACGAAACGACAAGGGTTGGTTTAAGCATTGACAAATGATCAGATAACGCGTTGTCGACTGCAGTATCATTTACTTGCCGATTTTTATCCTATGGTTTGCGAACGCATTGTGATGGATGTCGCGGCGATAGCTTGACCCCTGCCATAGACATCGGAGCAATATCGAAGAGGATATCATGACAGTTGAGGATTACGGGTCTGTTACATGTGAAGAGCTGCGGATACTCGCCCAACGTCATAGCATTCATAGAACAGACTTAAGCTTAACTATTCATTACATTTTAATTTGTACGGCTTTTCCCCTGTGGACGTGGGTGGTTGATCAGGCCGTGATCGTTCACGAGGGGCGACACGTTCGGGTCATGCACCTCGACTGCCAGGGCGTTCCGTTATGATCAACCATCGATAAACAAT